TGTGTGTGTGTGTGTGTGTGTGTGTGTTCCTAAGTGTATTCATTTCATTAGCTGTGCCTAAACGGCGAGCAGACCAACCGCGTGGACATGACCTGTGTATAATGTGAAGTTCACGTATCCTTCTCGCTTACTTTAATCCATTGAAACATCTCTCTTGGTGTGTCCCTTACTTCAGATTTCATCCCAGATATATTTCATTTATTTATTTGCATTAACAAATGAAACCAGATTTCACAGTAAATCTGCTGCGGTTAATGGTATGACAGTTAAGGTGGGATGCTGGTAGGGAATACGTCTGTTGCTGACTGCGCATGGGATGTGTCTGCCACGCTGCCTTCCGCCTACTTTGTGACGATAGGGCAGCACGACTGGCTCTACCCGGTTTGATCCTGTTGGCTCGCCGTTGTTGTGCGCTGTGCTCGGGGGAGGCTGAAAAGGAGATGAGGGGGAAAAAAGACCGTGCCACTTCTTTCTTTCAGGATTAATGTCTGTTTCTGCCTTATTAATATGGTTGAATCATGTGGAATTCATTTATATAAAACATTCTACTAAGAGGGGTAGAAATTTTGTATAAAACCACTTCCTTGCCCCAAATTCTCGAGGTAAGCTAATATATATGTGTAAGCACACAGGTGGATAATCAATTTATGTGGAATAATAAGTTTAAATTTGGTTACGTGGCATAACGGGGAATTTATTAACAATTATAAAATGGTGTGAAGTTTTTCTATTGTTGAAACCTGATTTTTGTGTCACTGGTGTGTGACGTAACCGGTGCGTGAGGGGTTCTCGCGAGAGCAAGCCTACATCGGTTCAGTTGAGGAGGAGAGCTCATGCTGCTTCATCTGTTGGTGAAACTTTGACATGTGGCCAAGAAAGGACGCTGAACTGACGCTGTTAGCGTTCCTGGTAATCTTTAATATCCACGCGTCTATGTGACGTGCAAAGAGATTTAGAGCGTTTGTCGAGAGCCATGTGCCCTCATAGAAACTGACGAGGAAACACGGATGTTAACCTTTGACGACCTTTGGTTATCATATGTTTTGGGTTTCCTAGTATTAAACAGCTTGATTCTCTGAATGACTGACCAGACGATTACTCAAAGTCTAACTGGGTGTGCTCTGTTTCTTTAAACTCATCATTGAAAGCAAAATTGTTAACGTGTCACACACGTCTTCAACACAATAACACGTCGTTATGTAACAAACAGTAAGGAAAGGAACGTGCTCCAAAATGCTGAGAAGATCATGCACAGCTTTATTCCCACAGAGCCTCGATCACGTCGTGGGATCAGTGTTCCAGCTGTTTGCCACCGCGAAAAGAGGGTGGTGGTGGGGGGGAAACTATATATTGATTGACACGCCACTGTGTTCTTATAAAGATCATGATTGCATTTTTTTTTATATATTCACTGTTAAAAGGTAAAAAGTATGCCAAATTATCTGTCCGAGGTTACTGGTTACAGTATGTCCGTGTGTATAAGTAATTCTCACTGAATTATCATCATATTTAAGTTTGTTTTGTTTTTAATTTGGGGACTTCTCGAGCAACCCTTTTTGTAAACCCCCCCTTTCTGTGTTTTATTTAATATGGATGTCGGGAATAATGACATCATCGGAATCTGTAGGGACTATTGAATAAAAAGTAATGCCTATGAAGGCTGTTTGTTTGTGTTTCTTTGTATTATCCAGTCGCTCCAGGAATATTACTACTAATAATAATACAGTCACGAACAGCACAAGCACAAAGAGCTGTGAGGGAGAGAAGGAGAAGTGGGTCATTCGCATAATTTCGCTCTCCTGTCACGCCGAGGTGTTCTTCCGCTTCTCAGCTGTTGGTGCTCCCTGAGCAGCGTTGGTAAACAATAGCGACTCTTTAATACTATTTGTCTGTCAAAAAGGAGTATTTAGAAATCTCCCGAGTGTGGGATAAAAGAAAGGGAAGGTGAGAATGTAGTAGCTTGTGATGACCTTGTTTCATTTCCTGCCACTTCAGCTTAGAGACAGCGCTGTCGGCATTCGCCAGACCCCCTCGCCGGTCTGGTCTGAACCGGTTCGGAAAGTGCGCGGTCTCGTGCGCTCTGCAGACGTCTCTTGCTGAACTGCGGAGCGCGCGATCCCTCCAGGCTCGGCCCCCCTAGTCTTCCCTCATTGGTTGGCATTATAGCGGCTCGCCTACATCTTCCGCGTGCTTTTTGGGCAGTGATACAATTCGCGAGCTGCGATTGGTTACATCCTCTCGAAACCTTTGTTTTGGGGCAGGCCCCGATAACCGTGCACGGGCATGCGGATAAGTGGAGTTGTAAACGAAGCGTGTGCACTTTTCAGCACCAATACCTCGTGGATAGCAGCCAAACCTATAGAAAAAAATAGTTGTTCGGGTTAGTTTATTGTAAAAAAAAGCCGACAGCTTTGCTGTTTGCAGCACTAAACAGCCGCTGTGAAGGCGGGGATTTTTTTTTTGCTAGCAGCTCTGACCTGGCTAACGGAAATACAAAGCGCCAAAGCTCGTGCTTTGTTTGCCCTGGTGGCAAGAGCTGCATCCCCACATTTTTGCGGGTAAAACCGTCGTTCTCTCTTCGCGCTGTCGAATTAGCTCGGTGTGGGCTCAACAAACTGCACCAGCGAAAGACTAAATGGCAGGAAGTGAAAGAAAACAAAGGTGATAAAGAAGACTATTTGTCCAAGTCGGTTCGGTCCAAACAGCGGTCGTAGCCGCCGAGGTCTCCATTGTGTGACCATCTCCGCCTGACCCTCGAATCCCGCGCTGCCACCGGTCACCTACTGCCTCCACGCCCACAGCTGTTGTATTTTCAAACGGATTTCTTTTTCAAACAACGTGAAAATGTGTTCTCGAGTTTGGTTCTTGACCGACCGGCGCATCAGCCAGGAGTATCCACAAGTCCAGATCCTCCGGGCGCTGAAGGAGCACTGCGCTGACGAGGACGTAGAATTCCGCTACCTCCTCATGGATCAAATCGTGCTGACGATCTGCGAGGGCCAGCTAGGCAAGTACCACACAATCGATGCGCGGTCGTAAAACGACATACAGTTTGGTTTTCTTGTTTTATTTGAGATCCGTATAGATGGTAGACTTTAATTGTTTGGAGGGGGTTGTACACAGCTTGAATACAGAGCGAGGGGTTGGCTCGGTCAGCCTGTTTGCAAGGAAGCGAAGTGTAAGCATGGCCGTGACCGCCTAACCTACTTTTCCAGCTAGACTGCCTCCAGAAGGGGAAGGATGACGCTTGATTTAATTTCGCTGAATTCGCTGCAATCCCGGCAATTGCAAATTATCTGAATTACCCGGGCAATAAAAGCTAAAAGAAAAATGTGTTTAAATACCACAGAGACCTAGTTATTAGATAAGAGGCATTCATCAGTGAGCTGTTGTAATTTTGCTACAGATTCCGTCTCTTGATAGCTCAGGCTGTATAGGTTCTGTGTTATTATTTATTTTATTTATTTTATTTTATGTATATAAACACTGAATCATTTAAAATAGTTAAAATTGACTCCCCGAGTAATAGTTAACAAAAAGAAAAAGAATAGGACATTCACACTAAATGCAGGTAAATGACAAGCAAATCTTTATGGCGCCCATATCGGGATTTTTTGTTATTACCTAATACTGAAACGGTGAGGGTGAAAACTGCCACAAAATATAAACATGCATCAACTTGTTCTGGCATTTCAGGGTTTTCTGTACATATTACAATATTT